GCAACGACGATGGGAAGGATAATTCGACAAGAGCAATACCTATGCGACCCCCCATTACCAAATATGTGCACGATATTTGGGTATATATCACCACTTCGACACCCTTTGGTCGTTGGTTAACCGATAATTCCCATCTACGATATGCGAACCAACCCCATTACCACCCAACTCTATTTAATCGATCACAAATTCTCTCTCTCTCTCTCTCTCTCTCAATTCCCTTCTGAGCTTATCCATCCCGATGCGAGCTCCCGTGCATTCAAATGTTCCCGCTACTTTACAGCGTTCGTGCCTACTGCTGAGACATCTTGGGACAGAGCAGCCTCGCGAACCTCCGGCGATTATCACGTTTCACCAGATTATTGCCCATTCCTGGTGCGCTTAATGCTATTCGTGGCTCATTTCAGTGCATTGGGAGGATAAGAGCATAGACTTTATAGTGAGAGGAGCAGCGAGAAACAAAGAACAACAGTGACAGATATAACGACATTCTCATCTTTCCACTGCTTTTCAATTAGATCATTTTACGTAAGCGACACGAATAAATGCGCACCCGTTGCCACCTACGCATTTCTCATTCTCCCTGCCGTTTATCTATCATTCGTCACTTTTATTAATCCCATTATCCTTTATTATTTTTTAAAGCTCACTGCGTGATTACGATTGCTTAACCATCTATCCAAGATTATGTGTCGATCAATTTGCTTTCAGGGTTAAACGAACAAAATGTCAAAATTAGTAGACTTGATTTACCAGCGCTGTTTCAAGCGAACGTCAACGTATGTTTTAATCATATTAGCAAGTTCATTTTACTTTGAAAGAAGTTTTGATTTAATAACCAACGAGATATTCAATAATATCAATAAAGGTGTACGTACTCCACGTTAACTTTATTTAATTACTTGGACAAGTTTTTTTCTGTTTTTTTGTTATTGTTTATTAAATTTATTGTTATTACATATGTACATATAACGATTCTTTCTGTTACAGAGACTCTGGAAGGATATCAAGCATAAGTATGAAAAGTAAAATGTACATAATCGTCGATTAGCTCAAATAAGCAATATGTGAAAAAGTAACAATAAATTATATTATTTTACAAAGTATCTGATTTTTGTATATAGTAAATAATTGAACTGTTTTACCAATTAAAAGGCCAGTTTTCTAAACTTATAAAATTGTCAAAATTATATTATCTTATAACCATTTTCTCGTCGTTTATCATTATTTTAGTATATTTGAAAATGTAATAGACCATTCGCTTCCCGAGTCGGTGTAACATCGTTTGTTAAAATCTTGATAATACCTACTGTAATTCTAATGTGAAAAATTTTTTTAAATTTTTTAGTAACATAAAAAATCCTGTTAAAGACTTATGGATGCAGAAAAAATTTACCACGACTAAAGCATTGTCTTTTAATATAAATAAAAATAAAATACATTACTTGGCGTACTGTAATAAATAGCTTTTTGTTTTTTTGTTTTTTTGTTTTTTCTTTGTTTTTTCTTTGTTTTTTTTTCCCCCGTATATAATCGACGTTCTATTAATACGAAAATTTTATTATGATAGTTACGTTTGAACTTTAGCAATGTATGTATTTATGCTGCTTTACAAGCAAAAATTAACCTTAATTGAAAATTACAAGTGACATATTTTCTACAATACATAACGTTACACAATCAATATTTTAAGCAACTGATTTAAACGTAAACTTAATTAAACAATTGCAAAATTCACGTTGATATTTAAAATTTCGCAAATTTATTGATATATATATCACCATTTTATACACACTCCCTGTAAATAAAACATTTGCATTTGTAATGTATCTTTCTTTACATTGCGTATTTAATGTTACAAAATGTCAGATAAACCATTTTTTTTTTAAAATACTAATCAAAGTAGAGAGGTGGAAGTATATGTATTTATAAATAGCGAAAAATTCATCACTCCGAATACAAATCTATAAATAACTAACAATTAAAATAATAATTATTTAGGTAAAATTCAAATCATTAAAATATTTATATTGCAATGGAAAGAAAACAAGACGATGATATCAATGTATTTAAAATAAACCATTGAACAAAATATAGCAAAATAATGCAATATCATTTACAAAGAATAAAAGTAAAATTAATAAATACAATTATGTAACGCATTCGCAAGGAACGCACCGAGTGCAGCATATTTATTTAACGAACATGGTATTTATTAGAAAAGCATTTTATTAAATAATAATTGTAAAATAATTAATTGTATTGTGGATAAAAAAATTTTTATTATTACTATCGCACTTAATACATCTAAATCATAAATATTATTAATTATGTTAATTTTTATTTCTATGCTATGTGCGCAGAAGTATATAAAGTTCAAATTTAAATGAAATGCCGACGCTATTAATAAAACTATTTAGAAACGACTATTTAATGTGAATAGAACTCGTAACGTTTATTAAATACTTAGAATATTACAATCCTGATAGGGAATATTTTATTTGAAAATAGTCTTTATCCAATAGCCCGAAGTCCGTCTCTTCTAAAGCAATTTGTATAACTTAACCCTTTAAAGTCCACTTCTGATATTATTCTTGTTTATCATAATTATCCGACTTGAAATGATTTTTCTAAATACAGATTTGTAATCGAACGACATTGATTTATGTTAATGTATAAAAGTCATTACAATTGCTTAGAATATTGACGACTAATAAAAACACTTTCAATTCAATTCATTGAAATATTCGAATAAATTTTCAATTCTATTCTAATTCTATTGAAATTTTATCCTTTTCCATAGACCAAATGAAGTTTCTCATCATAAGAAAAAGAATTAAAAAACTATATGCCTGAATTGTTTCACCGATGTGTCGGCTATTGAACAAACACAGCCGCACACGTACGCACGCACGTACTGACACAAGAGCTAAAGTGTAAAGTGGCAAAGTATGGACGATTGTCAAAGAATAGGTTTGATGCAGAAAGGTTATAATCGCTTTTCTCTTGATAAAAAATGCCTTATTCCTTTCTAATTAAAACAGTGTAATAACGCGATAGGCAGCGGTAATCACTTATTTATTACTTACTTTTAACATGTAGGCTCAAATTATGAATAATTGAGGATGTGAGATTAATACAAAACGATCATGAAAAAGCATATCCAACAGATTTTTATTTTATTAATTTCATTCATAAATTTATTAATACATGATGCATGTTATAAGAATATAAAAATATATATAATATAAAATAAGAGAGATATACCAATGAACAATGAAGTGCTTTCAAAATTTTCAGATTTTTAGAGAGAACGCAATGGGTGCTACACCAAGCAGATACGAGGATCTGTCAAAGAACGAATATTTGGAGAGGTTTAGCGGCAGGGAGCCCATCCCTTTAAACGATCAGTTTTGGAGCCACTTTCTTTCGTACAATATGAGGCCACCTCTGACACGAAATGACCAAATTGAATTAGATTCTCGTTTGGACTTATGTTGTCAAAATTTACTGATTAATAACCAAATTACGGGAAATATTGGATCTCTAATTCAAATATCCTTAATTCGTGTGAATGAATTACTTTCAATGACCGATTCTGAGAAGTAAATTATTAAATATACTTTTATCATTCCATTTCCATAATTATATACATATATACATATATATATATATATATATATATATATATATATATAATGTAAAATATTTTCAGTATTGTACCAGCATGGCAAACTTATAATGCGCTCTTTGCCGTGAGATGTATTTTAAAGTACTTGATTGAAACTGTGGGGGAAGAAGAAATGGTTAAACATACAGAGGCTCAACTTCCCGAGGAATGTTTGAATAGATTATTACCTGTTCGTTTACAGTCATTCTTTGAAGCCTTAGTAGGTGTGATTGTAGATGTACCTCTTTGGTAAGATATCGTTACATTTTAATTATTAAATGAGTAGATTTAGTAAATCTTGTAATTATGTAATGGATTTGTTAAATATTGATAGCTTAATGGCACTATCAGAAGTATATAAATTACAAGATCCTAAAGATAATAATTTGAGCTTTTCAAATAATGTATTTATGAAAATATTGATTTTAGTGAATTCACGTACTTGGTACATCTTGAAGCTATAAATTGCTTATTGGTATTATTGTCCGTGCAACTCTTCTCTCAAACTCCAGCAGAGTACAGTACTGTCTTTAGAATTGTAATGAATAACGAACTAAGAGTTCATGCGCCAGTAATGGTTTGTACATTGTTGAATAACTTTGCCGAGCAATCTCACGCCCCACCAGGGCTTTTAACTCCGCAACCAGGCTCTAGTATTGTTTTTAGTATCGCAGGTAAAATTATCTTATATAAAACATTCTTATATAAAAATCATTTTATTTAAATGTAACGACATTAACCGTACAGCTGGACTTTGGAATGTAATTACAATGGGAATGGCTAATAGTTTGAAAAACATTCAAGTTTCGCACAGTGGGAATATGGAAGATGTAGAGAAAAAACGTGACACAGAAACCCCATTGGCTAGTCAGTCGCTACTACTTTTATTAGTCCTAACAAATCACTGGACAACTTCTCGAAACCCATACAGAGATGCTCTTTTCTTATTTACCAATGTGGAAGGTTTGTATTATACTTACGCATTAATACCAGAGGGTAGAATTTCTTGATCGGATTATCGATACTATTAATTTCAACAGATGATTGTGAAACTTCGTGCGAAACACATTGTGCGTTCAAGTTTAATGTTGATAAATTATACAAGACAATTTGTAAGATACCAAATACCGATGAAGTGACACTTTTATTATACATGTTACTTCACCGGAATCAAAATGTTAAGCAGCATGTAATGAAAAGGCCGGATGTGCAATTATTGGTATGTAAAAGTAATTTATTAACTTCTGAATTATATAAATCAAAGGATTACTAACAACTAATTACTAACATTAATTGCAGATAATTCCTATTTTAAGAGTCCTTTACAATGCTCCTGAAAATACTTCGCATCATATATACATGTCGTTAATTATTCTTTTGATCCTTAGCGAAGATGAAACTTTTAATAAAAAAGTGCACGATATAGTACGAACCCACTTATTTATGTCTTCTAAGTCGTTAAATATTGTTTACTTCGTTATTCATTAGTTTTAATCATTTCTTATAGATGCTAAAAGGAATTACTTGGTACACTGAAAGATCAATTAGTGAAATATCACTCGGAGGATTATTAATTCTTGTTGTTATCAGAACAATACAATATAACATGTTAAAAATGAGAGTAAGCATTGCATACATATCTTTCTATAATCTATTAAAAATATTAAATATTAAATAAAGGCTTATATACATATGCATATACATACATAAAAAAAAAAAACATATATATATATATATATATACCTACATGTACATTCTATAAAACATTAGGACAGATATTTGCATACAAACTGTTTGGCAGCGTTGGCAAATATGTCAAGTCAGTTTAGATTGCTACATCCTTATGTTAGCCAACGACTCATCAGTTTATTTGAAACATTAGCAAAAAAATATATAAAGCTCGAGTCTACGGTGAGAGGTCAATCTAATGCTGTTTCAACCACTGTAAACATTAATATTAACGGCAGTGTTGCAAATAACGATTTAGTAAGAATTCATTTCTTATATTGTTTATAATATATGATTTGCTTTTGTGTTATAGAGAATTAGTAAAAATTAATGATTTGCATTTATTAAGATTCAAGACTTGACAGTATTAGAGGAAGTTCTACGTATGGTACTAGAAATCATAAATAGTACGTTAACGCATCAGTTAGCTCACAATCCTAATTTAATTTACACTCTGCTGTACAAGAAAGATGTTATTCAACCATTTAGAACGCATTCTACATTCCAAGACATTGTTCAAAACATAGATTCGGTAAATTCATTATGCATTGAATAATCCACTTTACAAAAAAATATATTCATGAAATTGGCATTTTTCGTTTAGGTGATTAATTTCTTTTCTTACAAACTTGAGCAAAAAGAGCAATGTCAACTTGGCGTTAGTCAGGTTCTATCGACTATTCAGCAAGGTACAAGTCAATGGCCCCGAGACCGCTTAAGGGTAAGTATTTTAATTACTTGTAAGCAATATGAAAGATTTAAAAAGAATTTTTTACCACAAATTCATAACATTTACAATTATTTAGAAATTTCCTGAATTGAAATTTAAGTATGTGGAAGAGGAGCAACCGGAGGAATTCTTTATTCCTTATGTTTGGAGCGTTGTCTGCCAAAGTGCATTGCTGCATTGGAGTGCGGAAAATATAAAATTATTTTTGTCCAATCAAAGTGAACCAACAATTATTGTTTGCTGATATTCCGATATTGAATCAAATTGTCAAATTTGTTAAATAACGAGGCATTGGAAAATGACTGCACTACATTAGGTTTAAAACAACTAAAGTTGCAACTATATATATGAGAAAAAAAATTCATGAGGGCTTGATATTTAAACAAATGAATATGTATATATATATATATATATATATATATATATATATATGATGTGTGTGTGTGTGCGCGTGCGCGTTCGTGCGTGCGTCTTAAGGGAGTATAACACTGGCAAGTGAAATAACTATTTATGATATATATATATATATATATATATATATCTTATCTTATATATATATATATATATCATATATATATCATATCTTTTTGAAATATTATAATTGCTTAATTTAGACCAATCATAAGGAACTTGCCTTTTACAAACTTAAAATATTTTCAAATTCTTATAAAGCATTTATAAAATTATTAGAAATAACAAGGTAAAAATGGCCAATAGCTTCTATCCGTACGAATAATGATGGTTTTGGTTGATAAAAAAAATTTGTAAATAATATTATAATTAACCATAATGCTATGTTAATGACTATATTATTGATTATAAGAGTAATTTACATTTTCACAGCATTTGTATATACGTGACTCTAGCTGTTTTCATTGTGAATATAAGTTTATTGTGTAATGTATAAATTTATAATAAAAAAATTTGTACATAAAAATCTATGTAAATTTTAATTATTATTTTACCTTTAAGAGATTCATTGTATGCCATTCATTCACCTAATAATATATAAATCTTAAATTTATCTTTACATATAATTCATTGTTTAATAAATAATAGGTAAGGAAAGAAGTTTGAGTAATAGTTTTCACAATTTCAAAACAAAATGACGAACAAAATATTTTATTGACATTACAGGTTTTTTTTTCTCTTTGCTCATTGCATTATTTATATATTAGCATCCATAATACCTTAATCTTTGTACTTACTTGACTTATATATACATAGTTAATTAAACATTTCAATAAAAATATAGTTAGAAAATTAAATACCACAGGAAGTTTCAAAATTTGCTTATTTCATAAAAATGTACAAATGTCGTATTTCATATTGATGAACTGAAAATGTTCCAAATTTATATATATATATATATTTTTTTTTTTTTTTTTTTTTTTTTTAGCCTATCGCTTGTAAAACAAAAACAAAAACAAAAACAAAAATAAAAAAATAAGAATAATTGCTATTTGTACAAACATTGATTATAAAATAATTTTAAAACTCCTTAAAAACATTATTGCCATAAAATTAAATGCTTACGAATTATTTAAACTACTTTGATAAGTTTCCGCAGTAAAGGTAAAACTTTCAGAATTTCCTAAAATATTGCAAAGGCTGTAATTGCCCTTTGAAACTACGAAGATTAAAGAAAATGCGATGATCATTCGTTTGTGATCGTATCATAATTTTATCATTTAAAGTTACATTGCCCAGAATTTTTAAAAATTTTTACTATCCGGGACATTCTTATATGCGCTATCAAAACAGCGCTATTTACTCTAAAATATAAAATAAAAACTAAACATTAACATTATATAACTCAATAATTCTAAAGTAAATTTAATTTTAACTTATAAAAACCAAAACGAAACGAAACAAAAAAAAAAACATAAAACAACAGAACAAGCATCCAGTTTAAAGACATGAAGGTAATGGATAATATGGATTGTAAGGTACAAGTCAAACTCTATGCGCTTTAAAATTTTTTGTTTCGAATGTACACCTTTATTAAACAAATACACTTGACGTCTTAGTATTATTTATAATATGTCATTAAGATAGTATTTTATATTCCTAGCATGTGCAGTGTGTGTATGCGCATGTGTGGATTTTTCCTTTGACTATTGCTAATATTGTTTTACCTGAACAATCTTAGTTTGCGGGTTTAACAAGATTATCATAATTTGACAGTTGTGTACGCCATAAAAAAACAATGCGCTGAATTGCTCGGTTAAATTTATATAATCGCCATTATAATCGTTGATAAAAATAAAAAAAAGAAAAGAAAGAAAAAAAAAATGAAAAAGAAAAAGAAGATGAAAAAGAATAGTTTGTGAAAAAAAAACTTGCGTCTTTAACAAAAGGACTTTACATTTTCTTTAAATTTGTTATTTTTTCGTGTCCCATTCTTGCGCTGCTCGGTTGACTTGACTTTTTAAACATATAAGCGTATAGTGGTATCTTTTTGTCTTACATATCAATGATAATTTTTCCACTTAACTTTAATATTAGCATTACGATTAATCTTATTAATTAACACACACAATTTCATCGGTACTGGGAGGGAATTTAGTTGTCTCTTGTTAATGAGTTTCTCTTTATTTATATATATAAGTTCCGTTACAAGCCGAAAGCTATTAATCGCGATACCTCGTAATCGGTGTCATAATGTTTTAGTCATTTTCTGTGCTTCCACTTTTATAATTTTTTGCCCGTTCTCCATTCTCGATCCTCATTACTCTGGCATACACGTACATTTTCGAGTAAAAAAGCCTTTTATAAAACAGCGGGGGAGGGGGTCAAACGTCTGCATGCAAAATGCATTCTCTCAAAAATGCATGCAAGATAAGTTTAATGGATAAACTAAGAAAATATATTTATAACAAGATAACGTTTGACCTAGACGCTCGCGAGTCGCTTCCTTTGTCGAGCAAAGCTGCGCGTCTATCCGCTATTGAAGTTTTTACAAGGTTGACCTCTGCCATATTTTCTCGACGACGTTCATTATCATACTTAAGTGTCACTTGTGGTGCGCATTCGCTTGAACTACAATCCAGTATTCGCTTTTCAACGCGCTTCGTACAATGTAACGATTGGTTTCTACGTTTGTTTCATCTGTATCCCTTAACACCTATGTATGCGATTAATGTGTCTGATATCTTTCAATGCATCTTTGCCGCATTTAGTCGAAAATGTGGATTGACCACACATACTCGCACGCGCGCACACGCACGCACACACACACACATATATATATATATACATGCGCGTGCGCGCACGTGTGGGTGGATGGGTGTCGTGGGTGTGCGTGCGTGTGCGTGGATGTGTGTGTTTGTGGATGTGTATTTGGGTATATGTCTGTGTACGTGCGCGCTTATGTTTTTCTTCACTTTTAGTGTCGTATATTATATAATTTATTTAGCTGCCTACAAAACAATATAGTGCGTTACAAATTGATTATTGCCTACGCGCTAACATATTCTCTCTCTCTCTCTCTCTCTCTCTCTTTGTCTCCTCTCTCTCTTCCTCTCTTTTTGATATCCATCTTTAAACACTTTTATAACTTCGTAATGTACATGAGGCATCGACAAATAGCGAAACTAGAATAGCTCGTATCTTTAAAAAGCAAATAATAATAATACTAAAATTAAAATAAAATAGAAAAGGAGAGAAATAAAAGAGCCCATGACACAATTGTGGACGTTATAATATTAAAAAACGCGTTCCAGTTGTTTTTATTTTTATGCAATTTTTCACTACTTTAATGGGCCCATCATCATCGAGTCACGTCTTGAATGTGCAATGCCCGAGCTCTAATTGCACTTTTTTCGAGTGCCTCGTCATATTTCTCGCGCAATCTAAGTGTTTATCCAATTTTCATATATATATATATATATATATATATATATATATATATATATATATATATATATATACACGTGTGTTACTTTATTCTCTTTTAGGATCACTTTATTAATTAACAGTTAAGTACAGTTTATCGCGAGTATACAGGGAAAAAGAAAAAAATTAATCGTTAAAAAACTAGATGATTAAAATATAAAATCAGTAGTAAAAATCTCGAAGCTTATTAAGAATAAAATTAAATTTAAAAAATATATCTCTACATGCCCTATGAGTTTTATAAGAAAGCTGCGTGATTAATATCTAATTGCAAAATAAAGTAAGGATACGCTGTAACTTGAGCGTCCATTATGTTAGAGGCAAGTTCGTTTATATATATATATATATATATATAAGCTCGTTAAAATAAATTTCCTAAGAAAAAAATAAACAATTTTTGTAGATTATAGTTTAAAATAGGAGCTACGTAATATAGAAATACTGCTCGATATGAAAGGATGAAAATCGATATTCTTTCGACTCTCGGAGCAGGCTAAGTAAATAGCTAAACTTACAAAGAAAGAGTAATAGTAGAAGAAGATAAATGAAATAAGGTAAATGTGCGATCGCCAACTCATGAATTGGACCGAATGGAATAATACATCCAAACAACTGACTCACGATGCTATCTAAATATGTATAATGCTTTATGCCGAAGGAATAAATTATAGAAACGAATAAGAAAATTCGTATTTCTCTGAAAGAGAAAGGCGTAAAAGCCAGCTCCCTTAATACGGAAAACAAAAACAAAAACAAAAAAAATAAACAAAAAAAAAGAAGTAACGAATGAAAATGCAACAATCAAAATCCACCAATAAGCTCCTCGCGTAACAATGGCAAAGATATGATAAAGTAATTAAGAATAATAAAAGTATCGATGAGAAATTTATTATAAATAGGTAGTTTATTGTTATGGCCAGGCCTGTTACAGGACGACACTAAATCGATCTCAATTTTACACATACGGATGGGGGAACAGGACAGCACTGAGTAGTCACAAAAGATTCGTTTTATCTTCCCTTATTCACCAATTCTTTTATAAAAATGATATGATTTGCACGTTGGAAAAATAAATTGTCATATAGTAGTTCGTATATGAATACATATACATCCGTCATACTCAAATATTCAGTTCTAGGTATTTGATCGATATAACTTCCCTAAAAATACATGCATATGCGTGAATTAGAACTCGGCAGTATTTGCATTCACTTTAGACACTGCAAATTTCCACAACATTAACATTCATTGCCCCACGAATATAATATTTGCTCTTAATCGTCTCTCCATCGAGCCTTGCAAGAAGATTCCGTTGCTTCGACGACGTCCCTGTCACAGCATCCATCTGTAAATAAAAAATCTTCCACCCGACGCTCATGAGCATGTCAATGCTCTCGAATACATCATAAGATGGATATTTCCCAATGAAATTTCACACACTGTCGCGCAATACACAATTTTATTTTATTTTATTTTATTTTATTTTATTTTATTTTATTTTATTTTATTTTATTCTATTTTATTTTAGTCTATTGTTCATCAAATCCCACACCGAGGTGAATAATCGCGTATTCCTAAAGTACAAACAAACGGCCCGAATGTTTGTCCGACGTTTTCACGAAAATCAAGACTTTTGTAAGAGCGTCTTCTGCACAACGATTATCAAAAATTCAATTACCTAAGGCCAAATAATAATACACAGCTCTATTTATAGTAACATACGAATGCGAATTGCAGGCGACCCAGGCCGCACACAAATACAAGAGCATCATTGCATTACATCCCTAGCGAAAGCAAAATCCTTAAGACCTCTTTCGATCGTCCCTCTCATTCTCCATTCTTCTCCTGCTATTTAGGGGAGTATATATCGCATGCAAATTAATTGACCTACGCGCTTATGATTGACACGCAATCGCCCCCAAACCCGTATACTTCATTACGATATGATAAAAGATTCATTTTTTTTTTTATATTTTTTTTTTTATTTTTATTTTTTTTTTTATTTTTTTTTTTTCTGTCTCTTGTATAAAAAAAATACATACAAGTGGCCGAATCCTGATCAAAAAATAATTTATACATTTATTAAATCGCTTATCGACAGAAATAAACGACACTCTTTTCCGAACAAGCATTGCGAAAAATTGGAAGATGTTGTTAGGAAGAAGCAGGACCAAAGTTATTGCAAGCCGGTGCTCTGTAAGAGTCCCTTTTCACTCCCCGCCCTATTCGTCATCTAATGGAGGATAAAAATTCTATAACAATAGCCTTTTTGTTGTTGTTGTTGTTGTTGTTGTTGTTGTTGTTGTTGTTGTTGTTGCTGCTGTTGCTGTTTTTTTTATCATTTGTTTTTTGTTTTGTTTTGTTTTGTTTTTTTATATAGAGCATCCGCGAGATCAATGTACAAACGTTGGATTTCTCGATAGCACGATGAATTCCAGATTCTAAAGAAATGCATAACATAATGATCGATTAGCTTCTTAGGCAGACGTGCATCATTGAGAGATTGCGGTAATATCGATTAAATGATTTAAGCAGCGATTTCAGATATCATTGATACCAGTTGCGATATTTTCCTTTTCCTCGTGCTCAATGCTCGGCATATGCCCGAGCGATTTAAAAATTTGTCAACTTATTATAGAGACGAAATGCATTACCGCTATTCATCGTAACGGAATTGTATTTCATCGAACATTTAACACAAAACAGATTGCCGTGAAACTCGCACTTTTGGTATCAATTTTTTTGTAAAAGTCAATTTGTGCATTTGAAAGTCTAATACGTTACCAATAATAATTAAATACTTATACTTATGTGTAATTAACAAAACGAATGACATAATTATTTGTTTGCCTTTTTTTTATATTTATTTGTTAATAAATCTCTAGTTTCGATCTATCCGACTGCAGTCCATCCTTTTAAGCTTTGCAAGCATATATTAACATTGAAAAATGTCATCATTGTTTTCGAGATTTTCGGAAATATTTAAGTTATCCCGAAAGCATCTAAACACATTATATATATATATATATATATATATATATATATATATATTTCCCCCTTTCTTTTTATCCTTTTTTTTTGTTCTCTCTTTTATCGTTTTTAATGACGTGTGTGCTTGTTGTGTATATGTGTGTGAAAGAGGTTTGCTAGAATAATACACCCGCATTCCTCAACAACCATGGTTGTTAACAATGTATCTTATGTAGAAAGAGTTTTTTTTTCAACTATTAGATAAAGCGTCCCGCACTATTACAGATTTAAATCGATCTTTATATTTTCGCTCTTCCTTTTATTCTCATTTTTCTCCTCCTACTCCCCCCCCCCCCCCCACTGCCCCCTTTTTTTTGGTTTGGTTTTTTTTTCTTTTTTTTTTTTTTTTTTTTTCTCTCTCCGTCACTCTCATTCGCACACACTTTTACGCTCAGAGATACACACAACCTCGTTCTATTTATCCCTTCCACTCTGTATCCCTCTCTCTTATCCCCGCAACTCCCACACTTACTATTCCTCCTCCGCCCCTTTTCACACCGCCCCGCACCGGTCATCCCTCTTCATCGCCCGTCTCGCCGCCTCGTCTCCCGCCCCACATTTCCTTTTTCGCTCTTTATCGTTCGAGTAATAAGCCGTTAATTTGCCAATGGCTGGTACTAGAAACTCAATCTACGGGGACGGATATAATATGACACTTCCACCTACCTGCAAGAACACAATTCACCTACGACTCTACAGATCGAGTATTTGAAAGTGTCCTATAGGAAGGATATGAAGTATCTGGAGTCAAATTCAAAACTTTATCGATTCTTTTTTTTTTTTCTCATTTGCAAACCTTTCATTTTCGAGCCCTTCAAAATTAGAGAGAAGGCTGCCGCCGCTAACCGCTGCTTTTCCAAAATTGTCTTTCTTGATCTTAAAGTAGATGAATTTGCATTGCGAAGCTCCACGTTGCCTAAATTTAAGTAAAACACTTTTTTAATGTAAATTCTTATAATAAAGTAAAAGTTATGAAGAATATGATATGTTATTTCAATTTACGTTCAATGTCCAACTTACTGACTCGACAACAATATTAACTCACAGCACGAACTCACAGCATATACTTATTAGCATGTAATTAGTTTGGAAAATCTTACAAATTTATAATTCATATATTAAGGATGCGCAGCATTTATTTCTTCTTTTATTTGAGGCAGTCGTTTGATTAGGAGAATCCAATAATTAAAAAAAAACTAGTGATAAAACCGCGACCGATACACGTCATTGTCGTAGACAATTAAATGAAATGGAATAGATATTTCTTGACACGGATCAAGGAATATAAACAATTAATATCACAATGCGACAAAGGACGACACAGTTTAAAAAATTGATCGATAAAATTGCCGAAAACGGGATGAATAGAAGCGTAGATGATGGAAGACCTTACGATAAACATTTAACGCTATTTATTGATGGTAGTTTGATACAGAAGAAGAAGAATAAGAAGAAGAAGAAAAAAACGATGAAAAAACAGCGATAAATTAATTAGTATTTTAATAAAAGATTCGTATTGACAATTACATACTGACTTCGCCGAGGAAAAGGAAGGCGATATCACCGAATGTCGAAAAGTCATCTCGTACCGTAGTGTACTATGGCAAATTGTATTTGAAAATTATTTTCAATATTGTTGCCGCAAATTGATAATTGGCGACAATTGCGCAACGACAAAACAAAACCACCAAATCTATTTAAATAACAAATCTAATCGTTATTTTAACATAAAGAGAAGCATTTTGGCCATTTTTATCAGACGACTACCTTAAAGATTTCCAATTTAACTTTAATTAATTGTTAATTTTTATTAAAACTACATATTACAATATACTAATAAGATTTTCAAAAGATTTTATTCAGTTACTCTTATCATTGTTGCTGCTGTTGATTATTATTTTCAGTACTATTATTATCATTAATAATAGTATTGCTGTTTGTTATTGTTGTTAATGTGATTGTTGTTATTATTATTGTTGTTCATGTTTTTTGTCGTCGTTGTTGTTGTTATTATTTTTATTATTTACTGTTATTGTTATTGTTACAAAGTTCAATTGCTATTATCCAAGCTTTAAAGTATTGTACTTTCTCACACAAAAAAGTTTCATCAAAAAAGCTCTTCCTTTTGTCATTTCCCGTAGTATTATTATGTCTAACGTAAAATTATCGATATAAATGAAAAATACAGCATAAACTCGAACGAAATTACACATATAGTTGTCAATTATAAAAGACGGCGGTAGGTATAAGCGAACGATTGTTAAACGTCAAAAGAATGGAAAGTGCACGCGAAAGTACTGTAACGCTAGTATCACTACTACCTTCATATAAAATGTAAGCAAGTCAAAGATGCAAAAATTTTATTTAAAATGATATGACAATAAAATGAAAAGAAAAAAGAAAGCAAGAAAACAAGAAAACAAGAAAACAAGAAAACAAGAAACGAAGAAGAGAGAAGCAGAATAAAAGAAGGTGATTTTCGTGTGTTGGTAAAGGTGACGTAAGCCCTTAGAAGGCAAGTGTTTTTGCAATGAGCCGTCGGTAAAAATAAAATCTAACGTTATTTAACAGTCGGCGAAACATTTGGCAAGCTCGTGCTTATGACGAAACGAAAGCTTTAATGAACGGGCGCGCGCGTGCTTTTGAATAGTTTGACAGACACGGCGTTCGGAGGCAACTGCCTTGGATACAATTGCACTTGTGAAAGCCTCGTGGAGTACCGGGGAGCAGCGGGGAGCCTACCTTCTTCGATATAATATAAATGGCGTGGGTGAGCGTCGTCGAATGCTTAGACATTGGGGTGATCCCACTCGTAGTCCGGGGTCGAGCTGCGCCCGTGGCGACGGCCGGTGCCGAGGTCGCAGTCGTTCTCGCAGTCGGATGTGTCGAGGTCCTCGTCCCTGAAGGACCCGTCCTCGGAGTCCGAGCTCGCCGAGTCATCCATGTCCTCGTCCCGGCGGTCCTGCGAGGCCTCCTGCTCGGTTAGCCTGTCCATGGGATTGACGGTTATGGCTAGGGCGGAATCGTCCCAGGCCATCTCGGTCTCGGCCGCGAGCTCCTCGCCCGCCGACCTCCGGCGCTTGTTGGCGCCTGCAAAATCCACGTAATCACCAGTCAATTACTTCCCTTAGTTCTTCTCCATCTCTCCCACCCCTCTGCAACCCCAACCCGATCGCCATCCTCAAACACACCACCACACCAAATCCCTATCTTTTTAATGTCCAATTGGAATTTCGCGGAAGCGTCATTACCAATTTTCTCCAATGCGACTCTTCGGCTTTATGGAGATACTTCGTTTAGAGCTCGCTTGGCCCTTCGTGACGTTCACCTTGTGATTACTAATACGCCAAGATTTGCGTGTGATACGAGCCGTAATGAGGACTTGTAGTGGAAAATCACCGAAATTTTAAGATATTATTGTCGATTGAAATTAGGTGCCGAGGGGGTGCTGCTAGGCTTCGTGTATGAATAATTTAGTTGAGCGAGCTAGAGCTTAGCGTTGCTTTGCAAATAAAGTGCAATATGATGAATCGATAAATGATGAATTGATAATGTATGATATTTTCGGCGCCTCCTACATTGCCAAAATCCATAATGAAATTGAAAAAAAAATCTTTTTCATTTTTATTCCAGTGGCAAATTTGTATACAATTTATTGCGAATGCAAATATTTGTTTCATTGAAAGAGAAGTGCAATCGAGTCCTTCGGAATTAATGCTTTTTTTTTTTTTTTTTTTTTTTTTTTAATATTTCTTTACATCGAATGAGCACAAAACCAGTGTATTTATTATTTATTTAGTCTTTATGCGATGACAATTGTGTACAATTGTCATAGCTGAGCTAATTGCGATGAGCATTCGTCAATGGATAGCATAGCATTTTCAAGATCAACTTCTTTCTCAAGAATATAAACGTAATGATCCTTAAATTTTATTATAAAGATCACTGAAAAATATTGGTAGATATCGTTTTAATGCTAAATTCATGATTAAAGTAAAAAGTAAACTTTTAAAAACACCGCGATCGCAATTTGGCCCAATGAAAGTGTGTCCCTCTTAGAAATTATATATATATATATATATATATATATTTTTTTTTTCGTTGAATTTTTCACTCGATTTATTTTATTGGAGGATAAAGAAATTTAATAGTTTGATTTCAATGTGCATTCGCTAGCTCTTGGAGGCGGTAACATTTCTTAACATTGATTAACTATAAAAGTAGTTCAAAGAAATAAAGCCTTATGACATTTTATTCGGAGATTTCTCCTGAGAGTTTCAATATCCCTGCTTGTTGCTCTTAATAATACGTGCCACCGGAGGAGAATTATTACAAAAATTTCAAGTAGTCTTAAAATTAATATTGAAAAGGAAAGAAATATAATGAAAATCCAACGTAAATTATGTTAAAAATTAAAAACTTTGTTAGTTCTCGAAGTCTTTAAGTATACGACCGAACAGACAATGAGTGCCGACAAAGTGTTAAAACATCGTTTAAAATATTAAATTTTCCGATGTGGGTAGGAGTTTGTTTTTTCTATATATATATATATATATATATATTTGCTTATATATATATATATATATATAAGCAAAAAAGCAAAAAAAAAAAAACAAATAAACAAACAAACAAAGAAACAAACAAAGTCTACTGAAATTTGTCAATTAAAGATTCTTCATATAATAAATAATACAAACGATTTCAAACGTGTTTCATTTATACGTAATATGTATAAAAGTTTCATGGATTAACATTAAAGAATTTATAAATATACTATCATTCGTACAAAGTTATTTACTCAAAAGTTATAAAAGAAAAAGGTTACTCTTTTCGTAGATTGCTCGAAGCGAGTGTGAAATATATCGAATTTCATTCTTTGTGAATTGGATAAAAATATAAATAAATCAGCTCTTCAAATTTAAATGATATTACACGCTCCATTAAATTTCTCATAAAACATTATACGTTCGATAAATTTGAATGTATTACATCCGTTCAACAAGATCGCGAATAATCGTGCTTTTAAAATATTTCATAAATTGTGGCATACTTTGCCTCCATCTCAAAATCAATTACATTGACTTGTAAGCGAGCAATGTCAACACAATCGATACAATTAATTCTTTCGCGAAAAGATTAAAATATGAATATATTTCTTGCTTGATATAATTGCAATGAGATAATTTTAAAAATGCAATTACTTGTTAAAGTATTTTTTTTTCTTCCACGCGAGTCTGCACAACGGCACACCGACGATAGATTACAATTGTATTGGTATAATAGGTAATTAAAGATTTGATGCACCAGTACGCTTGCCTCTTGGACACATTCGATAGAATAATTCCGTAGAGAAAATTAGCGATGTCGTTATACTCGTCATTGCGAAATTTATAGCACACCGTCGCCGAGTTCTAGCAATACTTCAAATGAGATCAATAACACTCGTTCTGATTATCATTTCATTAAAAGTAAAGTAATCCCAGTCGATAGGGAAACTTGTGCTTCCTCTCACTACCCCGTCTTCCACCTCCCCTGTTCACACACACACACACACTCTCTCTCTCTCTCTCTCTCTCTCTCTCTCTCTCTCTCTCTCTCTCTCTGTGTCCGGCTCCCACTGCAACCACCACAATCCCTCAGCTACTGACTCCGATGAAATGAGAGGCTTAAAAATGATTCTCCCTACCCCTCCCGCGCTCGACCGACCTATGCGAGGCAAAATAGAGCGGAACGTGCAAGGGCTGTTTGTTTTACCTCTTACGCGAGCTGCTCCGACGACGACCATAAGCAAGAGGAAGGCGATGCAGCAGACGGCGACGATGGTCACCGCGTGGCTTCCGCCGGCTGTCGAATGAATGTTGTCGCGCAGCTGCGTCGTCGCGTACTCCTCGTTAAGCTCGGCGTGATGGGGCGAGAGCAGCGCGTGTCCCGGCTGCGGCTCCACGATCTTCGCCATTGGGATGTCGTTGGCGGTGTGGGTCGAGTGGGGCACCGGCGAGGTGCTCTTCTCCTTCGGATGGATCACCGCGAGCGTCTGCACGTACTCGTTGCTCGCGAATCGGCCACTGGAAGGGTGACGGCTCAACGTCAGTCGCACTTTCATCTCGACGATTTTAATCGACCGACTCGCATTTATGATCACACATCACATTAATGGCGAAAGTTTAGCTTCGAGATTCGCAATGCCCGTCTGAACTCTCGTCGTTCTCATAAACAAATTGATATTTCATGAAAATAAACGACCAGGGAGGGCAAAACGGTAAATAAAGATATAAAGAAAAGAAAGAAAGAAAGAAAGGAAGAAGAAGAAGTAATAGTAGCAGTGGAAGACGAAGAAGAAGTAGAAGAGGAAGATAGAATGGACAGTGGGACATTGGTAATGTCGGGGACGACTTTCACTTTGAAATAATGGACAAAGTGAAGCGGTGATGGTGTATGGTGAGAGGTTGGCAGGACGTTGGCTGGTAAGTCGAAGCTAAACATAATCGTCGTTCGTTGTCTTCCCTTACCTCAGCTCGGAACACGTGAGTTTGAAAACACGATCGAGATAGTATGCGGGCTTGCGATTCGTGTAGGTGATGAAGCGTATGATCTGCTGGTAATTGTGGGGCGTGTCGGCACCCGAGAGAACGACGCCGTCCCGGTCGACTCTCGCGCTGATGGAATGGAAGCGACGCAACGTGTCGCCCGGAAGACTGAGGGTCTCGTGGTCGGGGTTGAGACTCGGGTAGACGCTGACGGCGCAGGCGTCGAGGCGAGAGGCTGTCCCGGCTGTCACTCGGGCGTCCGGGAAGACTGCGACCCCGAGTCGGAAGTCCGCGTACTCCCGCGCTATGTAGCCGGTGCCTGAAACGGTGAAAGACCGAGACGTTTATTGTTGAGAAAGAGCTTGGAGACGAGACGCGCGCTTCTATGATGAAATAGAAGTCAATTGTGAGGTAAGCAGCGTCTTGGCAGACAAACCGTTGACGGTGATTCCAGGACGGGGCGACGGAAGCACAAAGACGTAAGACTGGATGGACGGCACCGTTAATGGTCTGTCCTCCCTACCCTCGCAGATGATGGTCGTGTCGAGGCGGAAATTGCGCCTGCCCGGCGTTGGGAATCTCCTCGAGTTAGTGTAGCCGATGCGCCGTAAGAGGGTCTCGACGTTGGTTCGGTTGTCGCCGTCGATCCTTAGCTCGGTGAGGTCCGAGTTGGTGAGCAATTGCGTGCCCGGCTGAAGGAGGTCCATGGAGGGCACGTGGATGCCCTCCTGACAGTGTCTCAGACAGGAGAGCACGTCGGGCTTCTCGTTCCTGCCGACGAGGACCGAGAGTCCCGCCAGGTAGCCCCTGAAGTGGTGCTTGGTCTTGTTGTCCGAGCCTTGCCAGCAGGCGCCGACGACGAGGGTCGTGTTTATTCCCTTGGCCGGATGAAGCGGCCAATCGTCGATTATCTCCGGATTCATTTTGTCAGCGTGCCACTCCTCGCCGTCGACGAAGAGGCTCACCCGTGGGAAGTTTACCTGGATGGCGTAATGGTGCCACCTATCGTCGCACACCTGAGTGAGCTTCCAGCGCCACTCGGCTGGGCGGAACATGTCCGGGTCGCCTTCCGTGAAGTCGCGGCGTAGCAAGAGGATGAGCCGGCAATTGCGAATGAAGAGGGCATAGTGATGCCTATTCATTTCTGGATTACGGAGAAGCAAGAGAATTTTACGAATTAGAGGGATGAAGATTTTCGAGGGCTTATTTGACCTTACGATTCCATATCAATAAGCTACTCTATCTAACTCTTTCTCTCTCTCTCTCTCTCTCTCTCTCTCTCTCTCTTTATATATATATATATATATATATACACACACACACACACACACACACATCTCCAATTACTTATTCGTGTATTGGCGACAGCTTCTAGAGCGTATAGATTATCAGCTATTTTATGACACGTCGCAACGAGGAAAAACAAAAACTCGTATTCCAATTAAAATTAAAAGTACATCTGCCGGAAAATCGAGACTCAGCTACATATTGCAAAGGAAGAGGGAAAAAAAAAAAAAGTTTATTTATAAATAGTGAATTATTGCTTGGTTACAGCTGACATTTGCGCGTAAATTTATCAAAAACATTAAACCAATGCCCGATAATTGCTTAATACGTTATTTTAAATAGATTTCCTTGCATTATTTTACACCGAAACGTGGCAATCGTTTCATTATATTATTAACTTACGAGCTTATTCACTTGCTTTTATATGTACTTTTACCGCGTATTGGGACCGCGATAATACGATATAAAGGACCTATATATGTGCTTTAAAAACTTGGGTGATATGGTGGTATAAGGTATCCTATATATAACAAGATTTATCAGTAATCAATTGGCTTAGTCACTTTACAGCAATTTTAATAAACAAATCGCTAAAGTCGGTGCGATAGACGAAACTATCGCGTACAAATCAGTTTGTAAGAATAAAATAAAAGACTTTATTTTGTAAGAAAACGCTATGTTACCTGAAAGTATTTTTTCACTTTTTTAATTTTAATGAAAAGGCATTATTTGGCGGGAACGTTAATACACATAAATAATGATATTAGAAAGACTTGCCAGAATGGTGATATAAGCACACCATGATATACCGTCATTGCGTAGAAATAGAACGTTCCATTTATTCTAGATAGTCTAGGCGAGGATTTAATTTCTTTCTTTTTTTTTCTCTCATCGATCAGTATTCGTAAAGCAGATAAAGAACTTAAATCGCGTAATAGTCCAGTTTATATTTTTAAAAAATAAGCTAAGCCGGCAAAAGTTATAGCTTGCTAATGTTCCTTTGTATACGGGCGCTCCATTATACTTACGAAGTCGATCGGAGTATCGTCGAGAGATTACGAAAACTTTATAAAGGATAAGTTAAATCTTCAATTTTGAATGAATTACAAGAATGCGAAAGAATAACGAAAAATAATATCTCTGCGTACTTAAGTGAAAAAAAAAACACAACGGAGGAGAAAAAATTCGCCTTTTTCTTCATTGAGTTTAAAAAGGAATGACAGAGAGAAAGAGTGAGAGAGAGAGAGAGAGAGAGAGAGAGAGAGAAATCCAAGAAATCAAATCGCCTATTTAGCAAGCAAATTTACCACAATTAGCGTAAATACTTGCAATCACCACCCTATTAATTACGAATGAAAATAATTCCTATGATTCCGGGATCGCAATGATCAATATGTATCAGCATCCCGCGAGTAGCCCCGTCGCACACTACTATCGACACTCTAGGTCAATCCACGACGACAACGTGTGCTAAATAAACGGCCGTTACGATTGGCCAATGCAATTATAAGGAAATTTTCTTCTACTCTTAGAGCGTGTAAGAGTCATCAATGCGATTGAATAAAGCCCGATCCGAATGTAATAAGCTATCAACCCATCTTTCCACTTAACTTAACGAGTGAGATGGAAGATTTGGATATGAAATATTTCACGGAAAAAAGTGCGGGCACTCGAAGGCCTACACTCGCGCCTAATTTTCCCAAACTATTATTGCATTCAACTCGGAAAAGCGTACGTACGGTCGTAAGCTTAGAAGTACGCGAAGATGCTGAAACGAACCGTAAATGCGAAACTAGTTTCCCGAAACAAGTTCGAAGCGCCGGATTTGTTAAGAAACCGCCGGCAAAAGTTGCATTATCCAGGCCGAGTGTAATTTTTAATTTCAAACTACTTGCGCTTAGTTTCCTCCAACACTCGTCCGCATAAATCCCCGAAAAGTTGCCCCGAAATGTCTCGCCACGCCCACCACTCCCCCCTGAACTCGCAAAATTACATAATCACCCGATCGAATTGCGATGAGAAAGGGCGCGAATAAAGAGGTGGGAAGGGGCGGGATGTGGGGGTCGAGGGCGGGGGGAGGAGGAGGAATCTCAGGTTGGCACGTATCGCCGCCGACCTCGAGGCACGTAGCATCGAGCCGCGCGATAAGCCCGTGCTATTTGTACCCGAGGACGCGCGAATCGCCGCCGTGAGTCCGTGCAACTCGCTACCGCAATTTATTCGCGCGTTAATGAGCGTTGATAGTTGATAACGAGCCGTCGCCGCTGCCACCGCCGCCACTGTTGGAGGTCGACGGGGTCAGCGACTCGATCGTACGGTACTAACTGTGATCGTCGGCCGCGCAGAGGATGTGCTCCTTGACGTGGGGATCCTGCCTCGGTCTGGGCCTGTGCTTCACCCAGACCCCGATGCTGAACTTCTGGGCGAGAGAGTGCTCGAGGACGTCCTCGGGCACGATCGCCGCGGAATTGGCCCCGTCGAACTCGAAGATCTCGTCGGCCTCGCGGCCTTCGTCCCTCGAGAGAGTGGCCGTCCAGGGCGTGGCCGGGCCCGGGGTCGGCAGCAGATCCACGCTGTCCCTGGAGGCGCCGCACAGCTTCCGTTGGCTCCTGACCGTGTAAGTGTCCCGGTCGCAGCCCTTGCCGATGTGGTCGGTTGCGAGGCTCAGGGTCGTTCGAAGGTTGCGCAGGGCGCAGGGAGCGTCGCAGAGCTCGAGGCGGGCCGAGGGCAGCAGGGGCTGGGCCTCGACACCCGCGGCATAATCCACCCGCTCGGGAACACCTCGCCATCCCGGTGAGCAGACCCTGTTGACCTTTTTTAACGAGGTGCATTAAGGGCGGATGAGGGAGCGCTTCTCGTCTCCTCACCTTATCATTATATTCACTACGAAGCGTTGCCCCGTCGTTAACGAGCCGCTTTCCCGTCTCATTCTCACCACCGCTACCACCAACCGCTACCACCACCACCACCACCATCATCATCATTACGACAACCATCACCACCACCCCCGTCCACCTCCTCGTCCGACCCCCGGCCCCAGATCTTTAAGCGTCGCGGCGCGCCGTGGCGTTCGAATTTATCATACCGCGAGGACTCGTCGGCTCTTTTCCCTCCGTCGTTCGCGCTCGCTTATCGCGGCGTGTGTTCGCGCGCGTGTCTCGATCGACGATATCGCGATAGTGCGTAATGGATTTGAGATTGGGGCGTCGTGGAAGCAAAGTGACATTGGATTTGCCATTCTATTGGGAAATGTGCTTTGATGCCTGCCGTTCGCCTCCGACTAACCTCCATCATTATCCTGTGTCAATTCTTCCGCGCTGCAATCATTACTTTCTCCCATTTTAAGTAGCTTGCTTATGAATTTTGGCCGAAAATCCGGAATTATTCGCTTGTATTTTCGACTGCTATAACCAACTGCTCCAACGGACCTACGTTTAAAGGACATTTGAGAACTTCGTTGGCCCGCGACTGCAATTGCGTCTACAATTCTTTACAGTTCCGTCGTATCGACTCGACGAGCTTCGAAACATTAAAATTCCATTAGAAAAAGAGAGCCAATTTGGCAATATAATATTATTAATCATAATGGCCAGTAATATGTTGGAAATTATATTTGCCCAGGAGAATTCGTTTGACATTACTCTCGATTTTAATCGTCTAACGAAGCGAATAAAATCGCTCGGTTAAATTATTCGGGTTGAAGCATTTATGAATATGCGTACGCGTACGCGTGATAAGCGTGCCGATTTCGCGATACACCCAATTCTGACTTAATAAATTCAAAAGTACGTATGTCTTGTAGCGCAATGCTGCCTTCGCTAATATTATATAGCAGATTAAATGATATCTAATTACCGACTGAGCTCGCCAGCATATTTATCGTCATGCATTTTAATCGAGTACGATTAAAGCTCGTTAATTGTAATCGTTAGCCTATGCGTTTAAATATATATATATATATATTTTTTTGTTTTGTTTTGTTTGTTTTTTACTTAACAATCCATGTTACGCGTTGCGACAATCAATGGCTCTATTACACCGACAATCAATTTTTTTCGATAAATTATTGCAATGTGTCTTGTTGGACTGTATTTATATTTATACGTGAGACGTACAAAGTTTACAGAAACTTTTAATCCGTTGGCTTATTTTCCAGTGAGAATTTATTTAACGTACCTCACGATCTCATTTATCGATAACATCTCCCATTTATACAATTTTCTCGTATTACCCCCCCCCCTCTCTCTCTCATTCGATATGCGCCAAATTTAATTTCACCGTAAATTGTAGATCTCCTGTGGAGCTGTGGAGCAGATTATGTTACGTGTATCGAAAGAGTTTCACGCACTCCTTTGCATATTTATGCATTGAAAAAAGCCACATTGCATCATTAATTAAGTCTCTGGAGACATTTTAATTTAAAAAAAAAAAAAAAAAAAAATAAAAAAAAAATAAAAAAAAAATGTCCCTACGAAATGTAAATTTTTCTCAAAGAACATAATGATACGTTGTTACGACATGCGCGTGCGCTAGTTGTATGGAATTTTTCGTCGAGCTTGTAAAGTCGAAGGGAACGTTTTGCGAATGAGTCATATGATAAATTGTAGAACGAGCCTTGGGGGGACAAATAACGACTGCTCCTGGTGTTCGTAATATCCTCCCGATATACGTTGGGTACGATTATGTCGTGTATCAACCCATGAGAAGCCTCTACTCGAATCCGATATCTTACTTTCATGACTCATGCCACGGCTTCCGACGCCTTAAGTAATTAATGTGCTGGCGGAGCTTTTTCGCATTTAATCCTGAAATAAATCTGTGCCGAAGAAACGTTTAGAAGTGCAAAATTGATGCTGTGACCATCGTTTAATTTTCCTATTGCTCATCAAGACTGCCCGGTCATAGACAATTGAAAAGGATAAAAGCTTATTGCAACTCAATCTTAATAATTTCATACGACGACGTTTGTATTATTACTTTACTCGGCTATTGCGATAATGTACGGAGCCAGAATAATCGCCCTATATTTGGCCTAAAATTTATAATATCTTATACCTTTGATAGTGTTGTGTGTGCATTGTCGCATTATCAAATCACACGGGCAACAGCAAAAAATAAAAAAATAAAAAAAAAAATAAACGAATGATAAATGGAAGAGAAAAAAAATGAGAAAGGCAAAGAAGGCGAAGAAACGTTAAAATAATACGAAATACAAACGCTCTTAAACGTTATCGATTAACAGACATAAGCAACTATTTTTTTCCAAAATGCACGCAACGTTTTCATATTTACACGCCGGCATTACTTATTCGGCTGTGTTGGCGAATTCATTAGAAAATAATGACAAAAACGTCCAACGTAGCTAATAAATTACTTGGCCAATGTAATATTTACTACTCCAATGTAAAAACAAGAAGTGTCCATGGGAGTTCGGGCCATAGGTGTTGCGAGAGAGTCGGTCGGTCAGTCCGCGTCGAAACTTTAATTCGGAATGTTGGAAGGTAGGGCCGATTCGTATTTATCTTATAGGATTTAAAGAAATTGTCCGTTTGGTAAAGCACGGGCATTAATTTTGTCGATTAAAGTCCCGTACGGATACGTCCTTGAATATATCACCCTACTCGAACAGATAAAAGAGAGTAATACGAAAATCAAATCCCACTCCATTCACAGTACGCAGGCGTATCGACTCTATCATCGAAGTTTCGATATTTCGCCCCCCCCCCCCCCCCCCCCCCCCCCCCCCCACCCCCACCCCCACCCCTCCCTGCTGACGCCTGATAAACTTTCAATCATGACTAACATGTATTATATCGACCAAAATAATGTACAAAAGAAACATCTTACTCACTCCCTCTGACACACACACTCTCTCTCACTCTCTCTCACTCCCTCTGACTCTCTCTCTCTCTCTCTCTCTCTCTCTCTCTCTCTCTCTCTCTCTCTCTCCGTATGTGCGTGTAATGTTCCATTAACTTCGTGCCCTGACGTCTAAATTCTGATATTAAATCTAGCCCAGCGAGAAAATCGGTGTTGCCGTTGAAACGAGCGCTTTATTATTACAATCGCTCAAGTGCACCGAGACGACGTCTAACCACTGCTAATCATTTTCCAGTTATTTCGAAAATATAATTACACTTGGAAAAATCAGCTCGCTGTTTTTCCAGGGAAAATTTCGATTATTTACGTGGTTATTAAAAATGTTGCCTCTAGCTCTCGGTTCCCTTGATTATTTCGACGTATTTCACGATTGTACGACACGGGAATTCACGTTTATTATTGGCTCTCAATGAGAAAGGACGATGCAGGCAAATTAAAAAGGAAATCTCGTTTCATTATTCGACGATCCGCCTCGAACGCACTCGGGACGAAAGTATAACTTCGAGTGCGCAATGACGCAACAACTCGTGCCGTAAAATTTATAACGATTAATGCCCATGCTAATTGCCTTTTGATACGCAATGACCAAGACCGCGACACGATATATCAGCGCTCGGCCCACGAGCCCCCCATACCATATTTAATCACGAGATTGAAATTTCCAACGTCGCTGGGATAAACGCATGACAAAGCTCATCCTAGCCCATCCAATATTTATCCACGTATTTCACGAGAACGAGCCTTCGCATAAAACCAGACGGACGTTTTACCGGAGTTCGTTGCGGAGAAACGGGGATGGATGGATGGATGGATGGATGGATGGATGGATGGATGGATGGATGGATGGATGGATGGATGGATGGATGGATGGATGGATGGATGGATGGATGGATGGATGGATGGATGGATGGATGGATGGATGGATGGATGGATGGATGGATGGATGGATGGATGGATGGATGGATGGATGGATGGATGGATGGATGGATGGATGGATGGATGGATGGATGGATGGATGGATGGATGGATGGATGGATGGATGGATGGATGGATGGATGGATGGATGGATGGATGGATGGATGGATGGATGGATGGATGGATGGATGGATGGATGGATGGATGGATGGATGGATGGATGGATGGATGGATGGATGGATGGATGGATGGATGGATGGATGGATGGATGGTGCAAGAGGAGTGAGGAGGAGGAGCGTGCGAGTAAACGACGTGGTAACCGGCTTGGCAAAACCAATCGATAAATTATTAGCTGCCCGCTCGGCCCTAATCAGCGGCGCTCATTGTAATTACCTTGATGGTGACCATAGCCGGGGCCGACTGTTTCATGCCGCAGTCGTAGGCGACGACGCTGAGGATGTAGTTGTGGGAGCGCTCGTAGTCGAGGGGCTCGGTGTTGCGGATCGCGCCTTCGTTGTCGATGACGAAGGGCTGCTCGCCCGTGAGTATCTCGTACTTGCAGACATCGCCGAACTTGGGCGTGCAGTCCCGGTCGCTGGCCTCGACCCGGACGATCTCCTCGTAGAGCCGACCCTCGTCCACGGTGCTCACGTACGCCGGCTGCAGGAACTGCGGCGCGTACTCGTTCACGTCCACCACCGTGATGTGGACCGATGCGCTGTAACCGCAAGTCCGTGAAATTGTATCATTGACTTTTTGAAGTGGAATGAGTTAAAAATTTGTGATTAGCTGTAGCCGTAGGAGTCGCGCGGCTGGATCCAATTTGGGACGATTTCTATGTTTCCTACTTAAGCCGACAATTATTCAAATCGATTTTCAAAAAAGCCAATGGACGATTTAATGGAGGAATTCCCATCCCCAATATATGCAAAGCGCGTATTTTACTCGGCGAATCTCCTTTATTTTTTTTTTTTTTTTTTTTTTTTTTTTTTTTTTACTTCTTCCTCCTCCTCTTCTTAGCGTATCTCATCTCGAGTCACTTTATTTTTGGCTTGCAAAATCGAGCACTCGAGTAAGCTCGGCAAGTACGTGGAAAGTAGTTGCGACTTTCGGTCTTTTAATACATTTAGCAGAGTTTTTAGAGCTTTGTTTGAAAAGTTTTTAATAGTTTATCATTATGTTTCGAGGACACTTGAAAATTTTTCATCAATCTTCGCGCGATCCTTGAAAGCAGTCGTCCTCTTTTTCCAATCCAATACGATACATATCACCCGAATTAAATCTTACGTGTATAAGGTCCTTTATACTATTAGCTCGCGGCATAGTGCAATTAGTAATAACATACCAATAGTTCCCGTACCATAAAATATCAAATTTCTATTATGCTCCATTTTATAATATTTACAATATTTATACGCACGGCATGTAAGTATTTTTTTCCCTTTCCCTCTCCCTCTCTCTCTCTCTCTCTCTCTCTCTCTCTCGCTCTCTCTCTCGCTCTCTCTCTCTCTCTGTCTCTCTCTCTCTATATATATATTATTTCATTCTTCTTTGTTTTACGTAAGCAATGAATATTTAGCAAACAGTCCCTTAATAATTGAAGATTAGTTATTGAGAGGATTAAAACTTAGATTAGATAGTCAGCCATTTTGAACAAAGAGAAGCGATCATACTCATAATAAGCAGGGCAAAATTAAAAAAAAAAACAAAACAAAACAAAACAAAAATGAAACGTGCGAAATATATATCATTCCGAGAGAACTTTTGACTCGCAATCGCAAATTGTTACAGAAATTGACTGCATAGTCAATTTCAACGAGGGCCTTCGTCAGCATAACGCACAAAAAAGAGTAAAAAATGTCCACTCGCCTCCTTACACGCTTTAATGACTCATAAATATAATTATAAAGCGATTTAAGTGAACTCGAAGAACTAATGAAATTACTCGAGTTTAAATAAAGATGAAGTACGGCGCTCAGATAGAAATCGGAGATCTTAGAAATTCCAGACAATGGTCGATCATTGTCATGGTACTTTATAATTTATAAAGGCTACCTCGCACCTGGCGTACTTTAACGAACCCTTTCTCCGTACTTTCTGCACGAGATACACTCTCAAGACGTAAAATAGCAAATAAGCTAATTAATTAGTCGAGTGGATTATGGATTGGCGATAGCGACCCAAGTGATTCATTAAGTATTATTTCATGAAAAATCCGCTGTTTTGGGCAACTTTTTTATTATTATTATTTTTTTCTTCTTCTTCTTCTTTTTCTTTCCTTGGCTCTTGATGTACAAAGAACAACATTATCGACACTCTATTACGAGCAAGAACAGCTGGCGCCTTTATGACGCGTGGAGACACATTACGTGATTTACGCAATTACCCGTGCGCGATAAAGTGCCGTCCGTCCGATAAAGTTCAAGCGATAATAAAGGCAATTTATGGGAATGCGGGGAGTGAGGATTCCGTAAAAGGATGCTCGAGAGGAAAGTCGAGGAACGATAATTGAAGTTTCGAGGGCTTTGGAACTTCCGTCCGAGGCGCGCGAGCACCGCCAATAAGAGGCAGTTGAATGGCTATTGAATGAACTGTTGCGATGATTTTCAGGAAAAAATCCTAAGTAATTGAGAGGACATATTAAAAGGCGTGTTATTACTTTAAAGAGGAAAAAAATAAAGAAAAAACGATACATAACAAGACGCAGATCGACATATTCGTTGGCATACGGTATTAATGCTATAAAAAAAAAAAAATAAAAAAAAAATTTTTTTCTAAAAAATACACAAAACGAAAGCAGTGACACGGGATCTAAAGTAGAGGTTAAATTATGCTTCGAGCGAGTCGTATGAGGATGAAAGGGGCGTACATTTTATAATCTAGGAGAGCTACTTACGCGCATGATTTTTTCCCATTGTGTCTAGCATTATGTAAATATGCAAAGCTTTTAAAAAATCTTTTATAAATGACGTGTTGATTTTTTTTTTTTTTTGATTTTTCTTTTATCTTTATGGATTTTAAGTTACTTTTATGACAATGGACATAACACATCTAATACAATCTGATATGATGAAATTATAAGTCTATAATGTGTGCATAGGGACTTTCTCGTGCATTTTAAGGAAAATTCACTGTTCTCTTAAAACAGCTTTGTCCCCTTTAATCATTATGAAAATATTTACGACGTATAAGAGAGCCTATATATATATTATATATGAAGTCCCTCATGTTTAAGTTTCCTTTATTATGTTGGAATAGAAAAAAAAATAAAGTAAAAGGGCGCGTATTTTTAATAATAAGACAAAAATGTTGATGCACGTTGCACCAAGTTACATTATGGCGGAATTTTCCATATTATTCAAGTACTTTGTTTTCACGTAATACAAAAATATTAATTTGCAAGCTCATAAACTACCCATAATTTCCTCATTGTACCATTGATAATAAGGGATTTTTGTTGTACTGTGATAAGCTGTTGTACTCATTATATGTGTGCCCTTTTTATTATTCATACGCAGTTACGAAAATCATTCCTTTATATTCTTTATACGATTTTATGTCTTTCATTTTCGGCATTACAATTGCATTATATTTTTATATTGATATTATTGACGATAAATATTACACGGATGCAATATTCAATCGCCGCACGTTGTGAGTCATTTTTAGAGAATCTAGAATTTCATTCGTGTAATAATATTGAATGTGAAATAGTAGTATCGTGATAAGTTGATTACCATTATCATTATTATTATTATTATTATTATTATTATTATTATTATTATTATTATTATTATTATTATTATTATTATTATTATTATTATTTAGCATCTTTAAAACGACGCATTAAACGGAAATGTTATTATCCATGTTATAATCCTATTCTTTTTTACTTATGATCTTAATAGAGACTTTAGACGGCGTAATATAGTTATTTGCCTTCCCAATGAATGTTTCAAATTTTTTATAAAACCGGCAATATGATTAACGATTTTTATACCACGTTTCTATAATTATAAATAAAATAGCAATTAACGATATGAAGAAAATATGCTTAATGATATTCGGATGGTATCCTTCAATTAAAATAAAGATTTTATATAAATGAATAGACTGAAATTATTCGATTAAATATTAACATTTCCCGAGTACGTTTTCAAATGTATAAAGGTAAATATGGTATAGAGTATGAGAAAATTCTCAGTCGGTAGAATTTTTAATTAATTGCATTTTGCTTTTAAGATAAATTTTTATAATTTTAGTGTTGAGAGTTTTTTTTTTTTTGTTTTTTTTTTTGTTTTTGTTTATAATCTAGAAACATATAAAGAAAGATAAAAAAAAATAAAGAAATTTTTTCAAAGCAAACTTTTAAATAAATTTAATTTCTGTTTAAAAATAATTTGTTGTTTATTTCTCAACAAGGCAAGAACTTGTTTCTGATAAGTTGTTCTCTAAACCAATGTATTAACGTGCATCATACAATTACATCATTGTCACTAATTATAAAAGTATTTTCAAATCTCATTTGCATAATGGACATATTTTAATTGATAAATCGTGCATTATTTAATAATAATGGGCTGTATTTATACGTATTTATACGCATGAATACAAGATGATCCTAAATTACAAAATGAAAAAATAGTCTTTAATATAGATCCGCGAAAACAAAAAAATGAAGATTCTTCAACGAAATTTTCACAAAGAATCGTAAAGTAAGATCATTTCTTACTTTTGCTACTTTTCTTAACAATAACTAAAGGACGGGAGAAATGGTTTAAATCCTCGTAAGAAATGAAGATTAATTTTTAAGGCAACAAGGCAGTACCGTTGACTGAATTTTCATTCCAAATAAGCAACGGTCGTTTTAATTCAAGCTCGTACAAATAATACGCAAACCATTAATCTGCCTGTCTTATCCTTCCTAAATATATTATTGGAAAAATAATGTAGAATTCCGCGCATTACGGGAATACAAAATTTTTATTTCCCTATTGACTACTAAAGAACAATCTATGAATATTGCCTGTGCGATTTATATTCGCTAGACAAATATCAGATGCATGCCATATGCTAATGCGTCTGAAACTTGTCTCTTTTCGTCCATGAGAAACGAACATTTAGATGTCGACATTTTGGATGGATTATTAAAATGCCGACAAGAAATAATAACTTCACTACGTATAATATAAAAAATAAGCCGAAGCGAACGAGAGAGAACTGGTTAATTCGAGCCTTACCACGCGCCCTGAAATCTCATAATCATTTCATTATTATTATTATTATTATTATTATTATTATGTCTTCGCGCAATGGCGTTAGCGTTAGCGTCAGGATCGTCGCAAAGTCCACGTGTGATGTCGTTCAAATTTTACCGAAAATGTAAAAGCCTAATCTATTCGGTCGTCCTGAAGGTACTCGAGATCTATATATATATATATATATATATAAAGTCACAACGATGGGAAAATATCGGAAAGATTGGTAATCGTCGTGGAACCGGCAGGACGAGGTACGCGTTAAAGTCCAAAGTAGCGTAAGCGGAAGCCGACGTTTCACGCATCTTCGTTACCCTACTTCGGTGAAAGCATCGCTCCGCGGTCTGCGGTTAGCGACCGACGAGGGAGGAGCGGGATACGCGGAATGGGGAAGTGAGACAGAGTGAGCTAAAAAGTCGTCGTATGCACTTACTTGTCGGACTGGGCGCCGTTGCAGGCGACCGCGGCAATGTCGAACTTGTAGTTCCTGCGCTTCTCGCAGTTGAGAACGCGGAGCGCCCTGAGCTCCGCGACACCGCTCTCCTTGAGGATGATATCGAAGGGCGCCTCCCCATGATGCTTGTTGGCGATCCGGAACGAGCAGATCTTCGCGCCTAGGGCCCGGATCTGCGGCGTCACCTCCACGAGGGTCTCGTTCTCCTTGACCAACCCGTGGTAGCCGCTCTCGAGGCTCTCAAGGTCCAGGCGTGGCCCTGCGGGATGACAAAATGTCATCGGTTCGTTAATTTCACACCGCTTAACGTACTACCACCCCGCCATTTCCTCTACGCCTATTTTCGGTAAACGCCCGCTGCTCGACGTTGCGCAACGACCTGTGCTCAAATGGCCTCAGAGTAAAAAGAGAGTGCGACGAATGACATGGGCTTTTAATGCGCTCGTAGCGTTTATTGAAATGTAGAAAATTGATTATTAGTGGGCAATTAAGATTTATTTATAGACCGTAATAATGCTAGACTCTTCATGCGATTTAATCAAGCAAGAAATATTAATGGAGGCGGCTTGTTTAGCGAGAGGCCCAATGGATTAGCATTGAATATCAGAGGCCTAATAAGTTGACGTTTAGACCCAACGAATTAAGTATGTTATGTCCGTGTGAAAATAATGTTGTTAAAAGTGACGGTTTAGAATAATAGCAAATACTGGAAAATGCTCGAATGAGAAAACAAATTGTTCATTTGCATAATGTTCTGGAGAGAACGAACGGCTATAATAAGCATTTGCATGTAACTAAAATAGGTAAAGTAGGGGAAAGGGGAAAAAATGAACAGCCAAATGGAAAAGGGAAAATAATTGGTTTTTCGTATCGTCGAGGGGAATATGTTAATTCAACAATGTGATATAATCGCGCATTGTGACTTGATTCTTCGTCCTATAAAAGCGTTTATTAACCAATTCGATTTCTACTCCGATTGAGAATGCACTTTTAGTTTAGTCGTTAAGTTTAAATATCGTTAAGAATAATGACGCGCTTACCTTAATAATTTAGGGTGAACATGTAAATCGTAGCGTTTCGCTCAAAAGTGCACGGGAAACATTAGATTTCATTCTCTAATTCAATAATGCTAAATTGTAACATCATTTGGTAAGTATTACATCTCCCTGTGCTACTTTGTTACAATATTTTTTTTTTTTTTTTTTCACTCGCTAAACGTATAAAATAGCTAATTAGGTTTAAAATATAGGAATTAACATATTTAAATCTGATATTATAAGTCTTTGTAAAAGACGTTTTTAAGGCAGAGTCCTTTTTATTTATTTTTTTTTTTTTTTTGCAGAGAAATTCAATCAAATAAGAGTTGAATCTTACAAAGCATCCAGAGAAAGATGAGAGATTTTTCTTTTAGCTTTAAATCTTATCGTCGGTTAATTTGAGTTTTAGTTTGGAAAATATTGATTCTATCGATCAAATGCTATCCAAGATACTCAAGTTTTTATAACAAAAAATTCATGAAATACAATTTTATAAATGTAATTATGTGTAATGTACGTTGGTTTTTTTTTTTTTTTTTTTTTTTTTTTTTTTTTTTTTTTTTTTTTTTTATTTTAAACAAAAAAAAACATAACAAAATTAATCTAATCAATATGCAGTGTTGTATTTCATTGAGCTTAATATAAATTATGAAATAACATCGATCTAAAAGTTGTTTTTATATAATGAAAGTTCACGGGGTAGTTCGATAAAAGCATACATTCGTTGGATAGTTTCAGCCATCGAATAAAAACTTCTCAAATAAACTTTTACATACATTACAAACTTTTTAAATTTACATATTTTAAGAATATGAAATCTTTCTACTATACTAGAATTTTTCATTACATGATTTTATTTTTCAATATCAATTGATTACAATACAATTATAATAAGAGTGTAAAAATAAAATAGTGCTCGAAAGAAATTACGAACGATAAATAAACTAATAAGGATTAAATAAGTTTTTACACTGATGAAGAGACTTACGAGTTCAGTTATGTAATCTTTAACAATTATTGTAATTAACTTGGTGCTACTGATTCGTGCGTGGATCAAGTTTTTCTTATTACTCCTCGATGGATAATTATAAAGAATGACTGAGTATTCGTATTATACGTTATTACTAAATGATTTTCTTATGAAATATATGTGAAAAACTATTGAAAATCACATACCGCAATAAGGTAAGAATAAGGCGTTAATGAAAATCATTTTTAGAAATTAAAATGTAATTCAAATGCAATTTATTTATGATACATCACAAATTATTATCCCGTTTAATTATGAATAAAAGATAGTAATAGTAAGTAATTTAACGTAGGTGATTTACATATTTAAGGTTTGCATCATTGAAACGTACAATAAAAAAAAGTTTTTTTTATTTTTTTTTTTTTCTTTTATATACATATTTGTTCAGCATCGCGCTCACGACGTCACTTACTATGCATGTATTATTTTTAGATTCCTGTAAACGACATTTTATTTTATACGAGCGTAAACTTATAAAAATTGCCAGAATAATATAGAAAAATGTATATCCCGTGTAAAAATAATTCTTTATTATATTGAATTATTGTACATTATTGTACAACAATAAAACACAAGCATATAGTGTTTCATTTAAGGATCGATAATTTTCTCTAGAAAAAAAAAGAAAAAAGAAAAAAAAAATTTGCAAATGTTTTTAATCCTCGGATACTACGTCCTCTATATTTGCAGCGAAAAGTGGTTAAGCTTAATAAATAAATTGGCGGATGATTCGAAATCTCTGGTTGAAAACTTCTTTGACAAATTTATTTCGTCGCATTTATGGGTCACAGAATTGCATTAAAATTACGTTAAGAGCTCTTGTTCTTCTTTACAATTTAAATTAAAACAAGCTGAAAGCTTGTTCTTTTTAGTAATAGAATTGTATTCCTTCGTCACAAGTACCTCCATATTACTATTTAATGTATAATAGAGTATAGAGTGAATAGTACTAACAGCGTTTCAAATACATCAAGTTGTGCACGCATTCATAAATTATCGAGTAAAGCTATTCAAATATCAATTTATACTGGAAAAGTGAATAGATAATGTATTATTGCATAAATAAAAATAATCGAATAAGGAAATTTTAAAGATTATTAAATGAAACGTTAGGTACGATTTACAAATAACGACAAAAGAAAAAAAAAACAAAAAAAAAAAAAAATAAAGGAAGAAGAAAGTAGATTAAAGAATATTTTGTAGTCAGAAAATATTGTATAAATTGCCATTAATTCTATACAGTTTTCTTTAAAAAATGAGGAGATTTTGTTCCAATCGACTTTCAGCACAAAAGTAAAAGTGGAGTAGTAGAAATCTGCATGAAAACAGTTTGGACAGCTTTTATTGAAAAGTATGCAAATGCGTGCATAGAAATAGTACGTCAAACTTAATTCATCTTACTGCGACTGAGCCTTTTATAATGGAATGAAATGAAAATCTCCGCAATTGTGGAAAGTTTGAAGTACGGCAACTAGATTTAACATATAATTTCGCAAACGCACAAATGTTTTATACGCAGTGTAATGTTGCCGAATGAAGAAGAACGACGAAGAAGAATGAGAGGCCTAAATATAGCGAGCGCGATTGAATAAAACTTAGGATAAGGAAATTATTATAAGGGAGACGTTGAATTCGAATTTGAGTATTCTGTTTTAAATAAAAAGTGGAAGGGTGTGTGTGGGAGATGAAGAAAGTGTCGGCATAGAAAGTTTGACGGGAATTGTAAATGGCCTTGGTAGAGTTTACAGAGTAACAGACTGGCAGTTTTGTGGGGTCGGGGTCGGGGTCGGGGTCGGTATCGCGGTCGGTGGTCGGTGGGTCGGTGGGTCGGTGGGTCGGTGGGTCGGGGGGTCGGGGAGTGTCGGGGGGGGGAGGGAGGCAG